AGTCCAGAGGGAGGATTGCACAAGTGTGTGTGTGTGTGTGTGTGTGTGCGGGTGTGTGTGTGTGTGTGTGTGTGCGCGCGCGTGTGTGTGTCTGTTTCTGCTAAAGCAATTGAAATTGATTAAATACAAACGGCTCTAGGATATTGCCTGGTTATGACATGGGTGTCATCCTACCTATCCACCCCCACACTCTCTTACGCACACAAACCTCATTCCAAGCGCACGAATCCCTTACAGAACGGAGGGCATTCCCAAAAACATGCTCACATAACTAAAGAGACTGACATGGGGACACCAAACAGGGAACCCCAAGCAATATAGCAGGAACATGAGGACCTCGGTAGGAATCTACCGTATATACCCACGATATTATTATGGTTCCCAGCTCCCTCTATACCGAATGTAATTTTTATGTATCCCCCACAAACGCCTTTAAAAAGGGCCCCAATTTTTGGCCCCAAAAAAGGGCGCAAGCCTCGGCTCCAAGCTCCAAATGCACCTGGCTGTACATGGAAGGGTTTAGGGTTTAGGGGTTCAGGGGTTTAGGGTTTAGGGGCTTTGGGTTTAGGGTTTAGGGCTTAAATCTTAAGGGCTTGGGGCTCAGGGTTTAAGAGTTTGGGGTTTGGTGTTTGGGGTATATTACAAAACGTTAGTGGTATCTTTACTAGTCCCACACTACTGGAGTCCTTAGTATAGGGACCCCCAAAAGGGTACCCATAATTTTGGGAAACCCTGAACCCTGAGCCCTAAATAGTAGTTTCCATTTCATATTCCATTATCGCAATATATACCCCCTATATTATCCATATATAACCAAATCCAAATAAAAGGTACCCATAATTTTGGGAACCCCCCGATTCTAACAGCAAAATCCAACAACCGTCATCGTGCCCTGGCTTGTCTTGTGGCCTCACCCTAAACCCTAAACCCCAAACCCGAAAACCTAAACCCTGAAACCCTAAAACCCTAAACCCTAAACCCTAAAACCCTCAACCCCCTAAACCCTTAACCCGAAAGCCTCCGGAGTGCTCTCCCGGCCCAACAGATGCTGCAGGCAGCCAGCAAAGCCTCACAACAGCCATTTCGCAGAGCTCTACATGAGCAGTAGTCTAAACTAATTAAAAGGGGTTATATAGGGGGTTATATAGGGGGCTACTATAGGGCTTATTAAGGGGGATACTAGGGGTTTAGACTATAGCTCACATGGGGGTTTCCCAAAATTAGGGGTACCTTTAAAGCGATTTATAGGGGTATATAGAATCATGTAGGGCTTACATGGGGTTTTGCGGCATGCGTGGCCATACAGCATCGCAAGGTTTCAATCCGGGTCAAATCACAAAACTACTGGACTCCATCAAATTTATGCACCGACGCTGACTAGAATCCGAACCCACATAAACCCCGAGTAACGAAACCCAACCAAATCAGCGTCGAAACGCACGCAGCTACCCTCCTAGCAAAACATGCAACTACAATTCGCGTGTCTGCACGCAGGCCCCATGGCTTCAGTCCAAGAACTGCAGCATGGTCATACAGCATCGCAAGGTAACAAGTGTGAGCCATATGGGGACGCGTTTCTCAAGGGCCCAGCGCAGACACGCCGTCCTACGTGCCCCCTCGCATCAACCTACACCAGCACCCAGAAACCAGAAACCACTAAGCAAGGGGTTTAGGGATTAAGGTTTAGGGTTTCCCTAAATTGGGGGGGGTACCTTTTTGAGGGTTCTTATACTAAGGGCTATAGTAATATGGGGTCTTTATTGGGGTCCCCCTATTTAGGGCAACTTCCAAATAATCCTCTTAACCCAGAACTTGTCTGGTCCCCCCGAACCCGACATGAAACGCTAAAACTTTGACATGCCACCCTACAGCTGAATCCAAGTGTTCTTGAATGACTTCTCTGCAAATTCCTAGACCCTCCTCCTACCTTCTATTAGGGCCCAAGTACCCCCTATTAGGGACCATATATCCCCAATTAAGGGTACAAGGAAGGTCCTGGTTTATAGAACCAAGAATTTACCAAAGCTAGCCCAGATGCAGCTGTTGGTGCCTTGCGTGGGGACATTCACAGTTGAAACCTTGGCTTCTTCGCAATGGAAGGTGATAATACGGTATATATTGGGGTTACCTAAACATCCTATGGGTTGTATAGGGATAATGGAGAACAAGATGGGAACCACTGTGTAGTATATAGGGGTTAGAAAGGGATACAAAGGAAACTACTGAGATGATTCGCTATTCGTGCATTTGCACGACTACTAATGTTTATTGCGCAAAGCCTGTACTTAGGCAGGCACAAACTACGGCATGCTTGTGGGCCAACCCTAGCTTTTTTTGTTTCCCAGCTGTTTCCCGATGTCTAATACCTGTCTATATGTCACATGGTGAAAAGGGGCCCCGACTTAAAAATCCTGCAGCGCATGCTGCGGACTAGTCTTCCATATTGATTCCTGGCCTTAAGCCTCAATGTTCCATGCTGTTGATGACTAAATGCCTGCATGACCCCAAGGGGGTTAGTGATCATTCACGGGGACTTAGTAAGTAGGTCAAAATTGGGCTTTCCTATGGCATTTTGAGCACGTTCTTAACTCCTTACGAAGCCCCGCTGACCTTCCAAGTAGTGATTATTCCCATGAAGCATGAGCTACAGTCAAAACTCCTAGTATCCCCCTTTTCCTCCTCTCGAGGCGTGCTTGTACTTGGGTGACTGAGCGCTCATCGTCATGTGGCCTCAGGTCACCCATGTGCTCCCTAGGGGTGCAGACGTGTGCTTGAACAGGCTGCCTTTTCATTAGGAAGTGTACCTCTACCGTATCTAGTGCATCAGTCCGACAATATGCGGATACTTGGCGTACGAAAAGACAACCGTGGTGCTTGAGTATCTTCTGCACAACAAGCTTGAGGCTTTGCCTCTATGTGCCAGACGGCATCAAAAGACGAGCCCCTCCCGCGGGTGACCAGCTGTTAATTCGTGCTGTACCCTTATGCATCTGCATCTGCTGCCCTACTGCGGGAGTGATCTCATAGGCATGCTCAAAATTCACAAAATGCTGCGTCTAAGCAGCCGCGTAATTAGCCCAAACGTGTGTGGGCACTAGTTGGCAAGTCTGAGTGACAGAATTCAACTGCGGAATTCTTCCTGTGCTCAGCAGCCAGCAACGCCCGGAGTGTCCACAATCTCTTCAAACCTTGCACCACAGTAGCCGACCATTCCGTTCTGGTACAGGTAGTAGTCTCTGGAGCCACAGGAAATCTCCCTGGCATTATAGCCCTTGGCGGCAAAGGGTCCAATATTCTCTGTCCGGTCCCCGAAGAAATACACTTTCGCAGGAGGGATGGTCACCCCCTGCTGCGCATACCAAGCCAGAATGCCTTCTGCGGCCTCAGGGCTTATATTCTGAGTAAACACTTCGCTTCTTCAACTTCAAACTAGTTGAGACAGAACAAGACGCCGCAAGTTTGGTCTGAGGCATCAGAAAGTGTTCTATCAGCTATCTGAGGGGCATTCTGCTTCTCCCTGTTGGGCCAGCCAAGAACGAGCGGCGAACCAACGTTGGGGTAGTCTGACCATGCAGACCTCCAGCATGAGGTGGAAGGACTGACCACCCACTAATGTGACAACTGCAAATATATCCGGAATGAAAAGCCGTGCTTGACCCTCTGCACACGGTACACAAGGAAGTGGGAAGTATAGTATCGAAGTATACTGAGGACATACAGGATCTGTAGCCTAAACCGTACTATATCTCTACCATTACTTCCGAAGCCCAGACCCTACATCTTGCTGGGGGACGACCTCAAGCATGAACTGGCAACTTCTGAAGGCACACAGAGGCACGACGGCAGGCATGCTGCGGAAATTTGAAGATTCCGGCATATCCCCATGAATCTCTCTCTCTCTCTCTCTCTCTGTATATATATACATAAACACACACGCATATATATATATATATACATATTTATATGCATGTACTCTTGCATAAGCCCCTGTGTACCCATGTAAATCCATGTACTTGTACATGAATGCATATAGAGAGACATATATAACAACATCTTCTTCTGCAGGCTATACGTGCCCCGAGGGCCGTGCCAGGGCGCAACCCTGAGACCGAAGTGTCCGAGTCCAGCTGGTCCGACCCAGAAAAACCGTAATTCCAAACATACTAGGCTCCAGGATATGAGCCATTGTCTAAACTCCCTTCAAGGGAGTTGGATGAGGGATCATATAGGGGTCCACTATAGGGGTTAGTAAGGGGGATACTAGGAGTTTAGAGTATGGACCACATGTTAATTTCCATAAAGAAGGGATCCCAATATAGACCCCAAAAACGAGGATCCTTATTAGAGGGACCGCCAAAAAGGTACCCCTCATTCTGGCAATCTCCCATATATTACAAGTGCAGCAACCAACTACCACTCACAACTCTCCTCCTCCCTACTCATGGCATTCCGCGAAGCTTGGAACGGGCCAAAGCGTTGCATAACCGACTCTTTGGAGGCCCAGACTGCAATCTGCCATAGACAGCATCTCTCTGTCTCTCTCTCCCTGTGTAGCGTCAACGCCCCAAACACGCCAATCGCGAGTCCAAGGATCGCTTGCTGATTTTCTGCTCGAAGCTGGGTGTACTTCTCACTGAGCAAAACCTTACTGGTGGGCCACTTGAGAAGGACGGGATCCGTACAGTAGTCCCTATGTGACCTTTTATCATAATCCATTCAGCCCATTCTTGCATTTCTTGCTAATCACTGGCAGGAAGCATTGTCCAACAGATATGGCCTTTCTGGTGAATCGTGGCCACCAGCATCGCCTGCTGACACGATGCCGAGATAGCACGAATTGCAGAAAGTCTCCGGAAGCTTCTGGGCTGCCTCTGAGAGAGTGAGCCAACCTCCGCCATAGGCAGTGTCCCAGATGGTACTTTCAAGCCTATTATCCGGGCAGTTGGTGACATCACCTTGCCTGCCGGTGAGAGTCCGGTCAACGTCGAAAATGCACACGCAATCCTCCTGCGGAGGGGGCGGTGGGGGTGCTGCTGTCGTTGTCGGCGGGGCGGGTGTTGTTGTTGGCTCCGGGACGGGCGTCGTCGTGGGCGTCGTCGTGGGCGTCGTCGTTGGTGCCGAGGTTGTTGGTGCCGGCGTCTGATCGCTGCACACCGCGACACCCTTCGTGTCCACAATCTCTGCCTGCATGTCAGGGGCTAATGTTGTTTCCAGGTGCATCCTATGACGCTGGTAGATGGAATGAACGCTTGGGCTGCAGCCAAGCGGCGATTGTTGCACCGCATTTTCCGACAACACCACCACCAATGCCCATGTCCCGAGAAGCACATGAGATCTCTCGAGCGTTGAAGCCTGTTGTGCTGAAGGGCGGGATGTTCCCTGTGCGGTCGCCAAAGAAGTAGACCTCCTGGTCCAAGATGCTAATGCCTTGCTGCGCGTACCATGATACGATGCCGGTGACAGCATCCTGCTTCAATCCGTCCTCCCATCCCAGAACCTCGACCAAGTATGGAAGACTTGAACCGCTGCACAGAGGCACCAGCAAGCAGCAACAGCAGCAGCTTCAGCAGTCGTCGTCGCAAAACCCTGGCAAGCTAGAACAACAGCAGCAACAGCAGCGACAGCAGCAGCAGCAGCAGCAGCAGCATGAACATGAATAACAGGACCCGGAAAAGCTCATGGGATTCAAAACCACAAAGTTGCGGACAAAGAAAACAAGGAGCAGAACGCAACAAGAACACAAGCAATGAGGATAAGCGAGGGCATGAGAGCAAGAGCCACGAAGAACCAAAACGAGTATGTTGGTGTGTTTCAGCGAAGTCGCCCATGAACATGACATTAGGCAACATCATCATCATCAACATCATCATCATCCTGATCAGTGCAAGGGCCATGTTGCTAGCACCTTCTACTTGTGCCGCCCTGGTCTCGTCCGAGCAAAACCGAAAAGTAGGAAAGAGCTGCTCTGAAAAAAGCCCAAGGGCGAGGGGTGAGATCACTTGCCTGAGACCCCACCTCAGCTCACAAAAGAGTCGGGATTAGGCTTTAGGGAATATATCGGGGGCTATATTGGGATAATGGAAAATAATATGGAAAGTACTATATCGGGATTATACCCGCATGTATAGGGGTTATATGGGGGTTATATTGGGATAATGGAAAAACAAGGGAAAATACTATTTAGGGTTTAGGGTTTAGGATGCCAGTTCTCATGGGTTTAAAGGGCCCTTGGCATTGTTCACAGATGCAAACGCGGTGGAGTTTCCAACGATTATACCACAGTCCCCGTGACACGGGCTCCTGCCAAGAAGCTCCTCCTTTTTGGAAACCCTAAATCCTCATCCCTGAACCCTACATATCCCTACAATCCACTCTACACGGACCCAAAAAGGGCCACAAATGCTTGGACCCCGAAAACCCTGAACCCCATGTTCCCTCTCAAGTAGATAGAACATGGGGTATATGGGATCTTATTACAACATACCCAAAGCCATATTCTATACTTAAGGGAGACTATAACCCTAAACCCTAAGCCCTAAATAGTAGTTTCCATTTTCTTTTCCATTATCCCTATATAACCCCAAGAAAATACCCCATACTCTATCTACTTAAGGGGGACCATAACCACCCCAAGCGTGATCGAGTCGCTGGCCAGCCTGTGGGTTAGACTGAAGAAGCGCTTGAAAGAGCTCGGAAGTCAGCACATTCCTTACTGATTTAGGATTTAGGGTTTAGGTGGTTATGGTCCCCCTGAAGTAGATAGAATATGGGGTACTATAGGGATAATGGAAAAGAAAATGGAAACTACTATTTCGGGTTTAGGGGTTATAGTCCTCCTGAAGTAGATAGAATATGGGGTACATGGGGATCTTATTACAATATTGGTCAAGTATGTATTCTATCTACTTAAGGCGGGCTGTTTTTTTTTCTAGTTAGGGTTCGGGTATCAGGGTCTAGGGCCTAGGGGTAGAGGATGAAGGAGTGGAAAAGAAAATGGAAACTGCCTTTTATTCGGGGTTTTGCCACTTGCACTCAGAGTTTAGGGGTCACGGCTGATGGGGCATAGGGGCAGTAGGGAATCTGGGTTGTAGGAAGTCTCGTAGGAATTATGCGGGTCCATTCCTCCATCCCTACTAACAACCAGCGAGATTCTCAACCAAGTAGGTCCGCTCTTGCGAGTTGCGGCCGCTGGCAATACCATGGGAGACAATCCCCATGTAGCACTTGCTACAGAAAGTCTCCTTCAAGTTTGCACCTGCTTCAGACAAAGTTAGCCAGCCCCCGGAATATGCCGCATCCCAGATGCCCCAGATCTCCGTATCCGCAGGGCACTCACTTCCGCCAGTGCCTTGCTTTCCTGTCAACGTCCGGTCGATGTCAAAGACGCAAAGGCAAGGCGGCCCACTGCCTGGAGGCATCGTTGGTGGCGGCGGCGCATCTGCCGGGTCATAGCAGTAGTCAAAACTGGGGAGGCCTCTTCCCGAGCATCCAGGCACTCGCGTGTTCCCAGTCCTCTGGAAGCAACGCAGCCCTGCGGCGCAGTCTCCGTCCTCGTCGCAGTCTCCTGAGCACTTCGGAATGTTGGTACCTCCATCATGCCCGTAGCTGCTGTCCAGTGGTGGCAAATCGCTTTCGCACTGCGGGTCGTAGCAGTAATCCATCAGCGGCCAGGATCTACCCCCACTGCACCCTGGTACGTCCTCATTATGGTCCCTCTGAAAGCATTTCAGGCCCTCTGCGCAGTCAGCATCTTCATCGCAATCTCCCTGACACTGTGCCATGTTCGAACCCCCATCTGGGCCCAGGCTGCTGTCAAACTGAAAGGTCTGGCATGACGAGGTGCTTTCACCCTCCTGACTGCCCTCCTGGGCCTCTGGGGCTTGCTTGCGAAGGTTGCCCGGCTTGGGGACGGCGCTCGCTTCGGGGTTGGGCTCCCCGGCCGTCAGCCAGGCCACCGCCAGGCCAACGAGGAGATTCAACATGGCCATGCTGCTGACACTGGACAAGAAATGCGTCCAATCCCACAGCTGGGAACAGAAGCGGCTGAAAAGAGCAAAACCATCAGCGCAAGCAGCTACATACAATGAGGCGAAACCTCCAAGGCTTCCTTCTTGCAACCGTTTAATAAGAATAGTGGTGATAGCTGAAATAATGGTCATAGTCCTGGTCATAAGCATCATGGTAATGACGGCAAAAACGGTGCTGCAACACAATCTTGCCAAGGGGCGGTTACCCGTAGGACGCCCAGGGGCTTCGCATCTCTCACGCTGGCGGTGTCCACCAAGTCCTCATCGTCCACCATGGGGATATGTATGACCTGACGAATGCAGAGCGTCTTGTGGTTGCCTGCATGTTGAAATACTGCATCAGTTGCGTACATTGGTGCTTTCCAGAAAATCTGGAGGTCTGAAAACTCCGCAAATACCGGAATGCCTTTATCTGAATCAGCAATTCAGAAAGGCTGCAACATGTTGGAAACTACCAGCTTCCATGCGGACTGCCCCAGGACGGAAAGCTGTATCTCTGAAATTCGGGGCCCGGTTAATTTAGGTTGTGGATTTCTGGCATGAATGCGCAATGAAGGACTGCGACAAAACGTTGCGTCAATCACTTAAGCTTCTTGAAGATATCAAGACTTGGTCGGCATGTTACAGAAAAGACTCACGCTGTCTAGAATTTCAAAGAACAATTGTATGAGGTTGTAGGGCGTTACCTGGTTATACCTTGAGTCCGTCCCTTCCTAACTCCGAAACCTCGTTCCCTCCTTCTCCCTCCTTTCCTTGACTGTCTTGCGGGCTTTTGAGCAGCTACAATAAGTGGGGCTTGAGGATGACTATACCTTTTTTTTCTCGGGGGTCCGTGCCCTCAGTTAGAAGTACCCATGATCCTTCAAGTTACGTTCTTCTCCTTCCACATGCTGCATTGGAAAGATATGTCAATTCCGCAAAAACCATTCTCACCAGAGTCGCCAAATAATTAGAGCCCCACCCCATGGCTATATTCCAGATACAATAATGGTGTATGTATTAGAAACCTGGATTTTATTGAGGATTGCAGAGGGTTTCACTAGTTGGGAGAGTGGATTGGCCAACACCCCCTCTCACTCTCACACGCCTGATGGTGCTTATTGGAGCATCCGGACCCGACGGATTAAGTTCGCTAGATAAAGCTAACTGCCATAGGCTTCACTTCCCGAATTCCCTACATGCAAGGAAGTAGTTGAAGGAGCAGGATGTTTTTCAGTAGAGTTCTAGGTCCCCAAATCACACTAGAACTACTACTTAAATATTGTTCTCCTACCTTAACGCCCACATATATAATAGGGTTATTTAGGGGACTATAGGGATATTGGAAAGAAGATGGAGACTACTGATAGTACGCGGGTTATGTAGGATATACAACTACCCTCGGGCCATGAAGTAGCCGAAGTTTAGACAAGGGCTCATTCGGCAGGAGCAGTTGGCTCCTGATGTTGGTCTCGAGGAGATTCCGCAGGACCTCGTTCAGAGGACCATACTCGGCCACCTCCACAACGATTTTCGTACTGGTGGTTAGTAAGCTCGAAAGGTATATTATTTCTACTAAGTCTTCCCTTATTCAATACTAACCACCAATAAGTTGTGGGTCGTGAGGTCTTTGCGTTGGGCCTCTAGACTGAGTATATAGTCTTAACTCCTAGTATCCCCTTAATAACCCCCATAATGCTACCCTATATAACCCCTCTAAAGAGTTTAGGCTACGGCTGAACTGATTCGACCTCTTCACTCCGCCAGTTTCCATAACAACACAATATAGCCCCCCTTAAGTAGATAGAATATGGGGTATGTGGGGATCTTATCATCATACTGAGCAATTCCATACTCTATCTACTTAAGGTGGATTATAACCTTTCATAATTCCTTGCGATTCTTAAAAAATGACTCCTAAGGGGGTAGAAGTTAAAAACAGTTTTGGGGGATTCCTCATGGCAAGCTTTTCTGGCAGAGGACCCTTCCAAGACCTTGAACCTCCGCAGCCAGGTTTAGGTGGGATGTTGTATCTACTAGGACCCGTCTATATGGAGGGGACTTGCGGGGTCTCGGTAGCGCGACTAGAAGACCTGCCAGGACCATATATACACCTCAAAGTTCAATCCTGGGAGAATATCTCGAGCCTGGGCGACGCCGGGAGTCATGCGGAAGTCCACCACTGGTGGATCGATGAAGTAGGCCACTATGCCTGCATCACTTCTGGAAGTGTGGGGGAGGGTGAGGGCTCGGAGGAATGCGGGAGGACCTCAAACAGGGGCAAGAAGGGAACTTGAGGGGGCCTTACTAAGGATGATATAGGGACATGCTTGAGAAATTCGCATGACAAGGTCTTCTCCACACGGACGGTACGCTGGCACTAGCAGGAATTAATGTGACCATCGCATTAATAAAGGGGGTGGCAATAGCATT